TTTTCGCTAACACTGGACTTTCAAAAATTGCAAAAAATTAAAAGTGCAAAAGTACAAATTTGAATATAGATATTTTTGTCTTAAAATATGTTCTAAATAATCAGATCTTACAAGAAGCCACAATTTTTTGAACGCGTAATTTTGCGGAATTTCTACTTCAATTTCATCAAAATTATCAAAAAACATTACAAATATATGCTTCACTTTTTTCCACCGTTAGAACAACGGACAGTTAAAAAATGGCACAGGCTTCATATTCGTTAAACTCTGAATTTTGCAACTTTGCAAACTTTAACACATATTTTAGATATAATGCGAGAAATATGTGATGTTGTAACATGAGTATTTACAACATTTGTGTTATGTAAGGTGATTAGAACAAATCGTACAATATTTTCACTTATGTTTCAATTAAATGTGAAGAAAAAGATCTTACTGTGCAGCATTGGAGTACCAGCTTGCATTTAATGAAAAGCAAAAAGACAGCTACTGCGAGTCAGCCTTTTTTATCCAAATTGCGCGACAATAAAAGAAAGAATTTCTACGGGGATTTGTCAGATCAGTAATGAAAGCAAACATTACATGAAGGTAACTATTTTATATTTACTTCGGAAACATTGTACACAAGAACGTAAATAAAAATAAAAATATATAGCACCAAGTTAAATGTTTATTTTACACTGTTATATGCCTATTTTTCATTTTTAAAATTTACCTATTTGGCCTGCCTATTTCTACAGTTTTTTGTGCATGTAAATCAGCAGCTAACATATTTGATATTCATATTTTTGTATATTTCTCTTCAAATTTCTTATTTCATTTTTGTTCATTCATTTAATTTATTTCTTAGCATTTATTGGAATCAGTAAGTATTTGGTTTATTGTTTTACCTAATCATAGAAAGTTGACTAGGAAGTTGTTTAAAAATTATTGTTCACAGTTGAACATAATTTGGATTTTTTTCTTAGGTTCAGTTGTCTATTTTAAATTATTTCGAATGGAAAATTTGCA